ACACACACACACACACACACACACACACACACACACACACACACACACACGTGTGTGTGTGTGTCATTATCTAACTACTACTGGGTTGCTAGGTCAATCTCAACCAAACTTTGTGGGATAATAGTTTGGAACAAGAAGCATATTAATGGGGGCTAACAACCCCTCCATTATTGTTGTTATTGAGAATTTATTATCTTTGATGTAAGTTAACATTAATTATATTCATAGATGGCGCCATGTCCTTCTATAACACAACATACACAATGTGTAGGGGGAGGGCATATATCTCAGCTGTATCTTGAGTTATATCCACTTCTAACTTTCACACGCGTGACCTCTCAACTTCGGCCCGTAAGACACTTCTATGGCTAATATCCGTCAATTAATTAATCATGTGAAACATTGTGGAAGGACATTAAGAGCTGGGTATTGAAAGTGGGTAACAAAATGCCACTACTTTGGCTGCTACCTCTTATTACAAAGTCACCCTAACCATTGCAAAATAAACTGTGTGAAAGTTAGGATGTTTGTGTCATTTATCATAGCATCCATCCCCCACATATTTTTAAGTTCATAACCCGTACAAAGGACAGGTACTTCAGCTTGAATGATACATAATATGTCAAGTAGAATAATTAATGGATTTTAATTCTCTAATTTATTAGGAAAAGGAGAGATTTGTGATTCTTAATGAAAAACTATTTTTAAGTTGTTGCATTGCAAATGGAAGTGTGTGTTCATATCTGGGTTTTTGGTGATGAAAATGAGGTCACCTCTAGTTTTGGCTTAGTTGAAATGTTAAGATCAATAATTGGTTCACCAGAACTGATTGATCATCGATTATATTCCATAAGCGACATTTTCTTTATTTTTCAATAAGTATAAATAAAAGCATTACAAATTCATTGTTTGTTTGGAATTTTTTTCTATTTCTATATATCTTACAGTCCAGGATAAATTTGATCAAAGAAACAATTGAAAAATCCATGGACTGAATTTTTTGCAGATAGAATAAATTCAGAGAATTGTTTCGGGCCTTTAATGATCTAGCAAAAGCTCAGCTTGGCTGGGTTTGGAGACTTTATCAATGGAAATACTTATCTTAATTATGTTTAATTTACTACATAAAGTTCTGTTTCTTTTGTAGCAAGGCTCATAAACAAGGATATATAACAAAATTATAAAAACAACATATCCATAAAAACAATTGTAATTGGTTATGATATATTATTGAAAATCATAAATGTTTGGTCATTTGGCTTCAAAGACCAATCTTTGGTCATTTTGATTGTTACACCACTAATTACCTCCTGCATGAATGAATTGCCATAATTAAATAATGGTTAATTCACTGAGGGAATATTTACTTAATATAGAAAATATCTAATGCAAGATAATAGCATGAAAGAATGCAAAATCATAATGTGTACAATAGCACAGTGTGAGTAGCTTAAGAAGTTGTTGGACTATACAGCCTTTTATCAGAAGTTAGCCTATAAATGAATTATAGGATTAGGTTTTACTAATAAACATCTTCTACTATTTTAACAACATTCAGATTCACAGGAAAGACTTTTTCTTTCCAATCAGTAGAGATACTTCACCTGTATTACTTAAGATGCAAAAACTAATTCATGTCAGAAGTAGTTTTGGTCTCATTAACATAGCCTCACTTTCAAGATCTTCTGATTTATAACATTGCTTCAACAGAACAGTCAGTGCTTGGAATAATTTTTTTTAAGTGCTTCAATCTTTGAAATTCTTTCACATCAATAACAAAACCTCATAGTTATGTATATTCAATATTCTTTATCTTAAATTTTAGACTGTTTTGGATGAAGCCAAAAAGGGTGTAGGAGAGTTAACAAGGAACCAGAGTCAGTATAAGGAAATTCTTCGTAAGTTGATCCTTCAGGTAAGAAAATATTGTCTATATTTGCTTGTTTACATTTGACACAATAGTTGATCTCAAATACACATTAAAAACCAGACTTAAATTGTATCTTCACCACAAATATACTTGATTTTTTTTGTTCTTTCTACTCTATGTTTAACTTGTGCTTCTGAATAATAATGTGAAAGAAATGGGTAATCTGCATTTTTAAAGCTATGAATATTACCTGGGGTTTTTCAAATTATCCAACCATAATACAAGATAATGTCACTTCAATGTGTTCTCATAAATTATGAAAACTTTATAGTACATGTACATTATTAAAAGTTTAAATTGTAAAATGACCATATTAATTGATATTCTTTGTTTGTATTGATGTACATTAGGTCAAACAGTTTTTAATATTAATAAAATTTTGAACCACAACTTTTGTATGTGAAAGACTTATAACGTTTACTATCAAATTTCTTGAAGATATACACACTATAGTAAAAGTTAGTAGTATCAAATCTATAAAGACTTGTTGAGCAAGGCAAGGTGTATAATAAATTTAAATAATCATTAAACATTTCAGATATGAATAGTAAAACACAAATAATACATAATTAATTAAAATATAAAAGTAAAACCTAAATGCAATTTAACTGTCTATCAAACTTAAAAACATAGCTTCTATATTGAAAGTGAGCATGGCTTATCTTGAACTGTGGAATTTTTACAACGGTTTCCTCTGAGACAAGTTCTTGGAATGTAAACGAATTACTGGTAAACAATCTACATATGTGTACTTTGAATATCTGCAGAAAAACAACTACATTACATACACACACACACACACACACACACACACACACACACACACACACACACTTGTTTCTCCTTTATCAGCTCTAAAGTTCAGACTTTTAACTCCGAGCTCGTCACTTGACAACAAAACTTAAGTTTTGATTATTGTTTTAAAGGTTTCTTTTGAAATAAAGGAATAAAACATAGATAATGTAAACTTTGAATTATAAAGTACTTGATAATCATAATTTCATTAAAATACTTTGTTAGTGAAGTTGTTCAATTAAATTTTGAATGCAATTCAGTAACATGTGCAGAAAGGGTTTAAAAGTGGCATTGTCATCCTTGGGTTAAATGTGTAGCCCATATGAAAGTGTACAGAACACTATGCTGTAGGATAACCAACTAACAAACATGTATAACCACTTAAATATTGCTTAATGAATGAGTATGTATCAAGAAAACAACAGTAATTTGTAACTAGGTATAATGGAAGGTAAAGTGTCCTTACATCAGATAACTTCTTGCTTAACACTAACTAAACATGTACAATATGTGTACAGTAAAATTACATAAGCTAAAGTGCTTTCCTTTATCATCAGTGTGATGAGATATTTTGGCTAAGTCTTCTTTTTTGTTTCTTATCATTTTTTTTATTTATCTCTGCACTGTGTTCTTGTATAAATTTTTATTTTCAACAGTAGTACAATCTCAAGGGGAATAAGAATAAACATTCATTTATTTACAATGCCCGATTAAACTACAACATGGCATCAATTTCAAGTCATTATATAGGATCTAGTGGGATTCTGACCTCTATATCACGTGACATTCATATACTGTTCAACCATTCTCCTCATTGCACAGGGTCAGATCATGATTTGTGTGCCTGTGATTTTCATTCCTATGGAAACATTTCTTTGGTCATTGTATATAATTCGTGAAGTGTGGAATAATTCATTTAGTGTGGAAATTGACTGCTTTTGCTTTACAACCCAGAGTCGTTAAATTAAACAACATAACAGTACTTGTACATATGGTTTACATAGCAGGCTTTTACAGATGTAAGTTTACTGTAATCTACATTACGTGAATCAGGGGCAGTTATTGTTAATTACTTTATATTTAGTTCAAGGGTGATGTAAAGTAGTGAAGCCAATCACACCAATGTTCACTATCAAAATGAGTAAATTAAAAGCTAGAACTTTGTAAAGGTGAACCTCTTGTTGCTTATATGACCATTAAAAGAGCAACATACAAAAAAAATTAACATTTAAGTAAGAATGTTATGTTCTTTAAAATGTTATTGGTTTAGAACCATTGATTGTTGTATGAAGCAACTTTAAGATTATAAGTAAATTAAGCTATTTTAAAAACTTTCTTGACATGGAAAAAAGTTTGAACTTGTAATAGTACAACCAAATATACAGATCTTTTTTTTAAAATCATCAACAAAGTTTCTGGATAGCCAATAAATAAACCAAGTCCATATGTTTCTATTTGTTCAGTTTTTTTTCTTTCAAACTGACATGAAATGCAGAAAAAGCTTAATTTTCAAAGGTATTGTAAATATTTACTCTAGATATTTATGTTTGAATCATATTCATTATTTAATTTGATATTATCTGTAGGCATTGTTCCAGATGTTGGAAAAAGAAGTTGGTATTCGGTGTCGTCAGCAAGATTTCAAACTAGTCCAGAGCAGTGTAGTACTTGCTGTTGAAGAGTATCATAAGACCACTGGTTTGGACTGCAAAATTGTAGTAGATCCTGAAAATTTTCTCCCTTCTGATATGTATGAGTTTAGAATTATTATTATGTATTATTCTTGAGAGATAAAATTTTAAAAAGAAAAAATATATTTCAAACAATTCATATACTTGCAGTTGTGCAGTAGTTGAAAAATGCTGTGACCTCGTTTAATTGAAATTTTATTTTCTGATTCAATTTTCTTGTAAAGGCTACAAACTTAGAATAAAAATATGTATTAGTTATTGGTAAAACTATAAAAATTGCTGGGTGGTGGTGAAAATAATTGGTATACGTAATATCTGGAAAACAATTCTTAATGGCAAAGTTGGAATGTTTTAATGTGACTTGTCATTACAAAAGCAAAACAACACACAATCATATCTATCAAGCTGTACTCTATACAGTATACTCTACTTCAAAATGGCATATTTCACAACCTTAAGTTGCATTATGAAAACAGCAAAGGTACTACTAAGTTGTATCAAAAGCATTTACATTACCAGGTTGAATAAGTATAGGACTTACAAACATTTAGAGAGAAAAATACTACTGGAAGTGAATTTCTGTATGTTTTATTAGAATAAAAGAATTGACATTTCCTTTGAAAAAAAGTTGTTGTTGTATTTTTAAATTAATTATTCAGTTCATTAGGTTTCTCACTAAACGTTAAGCCTGTTTTGTATCTAGATAGTATTTGGTTGTTAAAACAGTCTAAAAACTATGTATACTAGTGAAGAAATCACAATGAGAATGTTTTGATAGTATTAATAATGCATTGATTTATCAATTAAATTTGGTAATGTTATTCAGTGGGTTAAAAACAAACTAGATTTTCTGTTTTTCACAGGGCTGGGCATGGTCTAGTGGTTAGTGTGCTAAACTTTGTATGTGAAGGTCTGTGGTTCGTATCCTGCTGGCTTAAAATTGCACTCTGCACTTAACAAGATGATGGTCAACTCTTGCTGTTCTGTTAAGATAGTCCAAGAGTGGCTATTGTTGCCTTCCTTCTAGTCATATCAGTTCAGAATTATAGACAAAGGCTAGTGTAAATTTTTTCTGTGTAAATTAAATATGTACTCAATGCTTGTAATTTTTTAAGGTGTCTTCATGCTGTGCTGAATTAATTGGTAGTTTTTATTCGTAAGCCTGTATTTAAATAACCTGAATTTGTCACCAAAATGACAGTACAAATTTTTAAACATTCAAAACCCCATCCTCCTTTTTGAGGTGCACTGTTTCTTCCAGCTGTATTTATAAGCATATGTAATTAAGGGGGAAAGCCCTAAAAATAGATCATAAAGAACGATTGATTAAATTAATTTGTTAGTAACTTTTTTGTAGACTGACTATTGGATGTTAACTTCAAACTTATTTATTCTTAGTGTTTATATCGCATTTTACACAAATTTGTGAGATGTGTAGATATATATAGTGCCCTTTATATATTCCATTAAAATTGGTGATTTTTGCCACAAAGTGCACGTCAAAATGCATTCCATAAAAGTCTTATTGCATGTAGGTGTTTTTTGTTCCCACGAAGAAAATCTACTACACCTAAAACAGTGAAAACATTCTATTTCAACAAACTCCGGGTAATTCGATGACGAGGAACCCAGTTTGAGACTAATAATGGTTGGAGACGGCTTGAATGGGTAATGAAGAAAAACTTTAATATAAGTTTAACATAACAGCAAATGTACAAAGGTGATGATGACAAAACCTTGTCAAAACGTTGTACATTTG